GTACTTGAGGATGTGTTTTTAAGGGCACGGATAGAGCTTCCGACCCCCCATAATTTCATTGACCCTCCACACGAGTTGAGGGAAAGGAGTTAAAAGAAGTACTCTGGCGACCGCCAGATGTACTGAAATTGCTTTTGCTCGACTAAAAAGGGTCGACCGTGCAAAAGACTGCAGTTGGAACCCCACCAAATGAAAGAAAAAAATGTAAATGGAAGTGAGAAAAAGGGGTTCCAACAGTGAAATGAAGTGAAAGAGCACCCCGGTACAACGAGTCCCTGGTTGTGAATGGTGTGAGTCCCTTTATCCATGAACTGGCTGTCTTACTTCCACTTCTTCTCATGATCCTAGCTTGAGTCTAGTACTCGCATTGAGAGAGATAGGGAACGTCTTAGAAGACCAGTTGACCTCGTAAGCTGCTATATGATCTAGGAAATCCTCTACCGACGATCGGGGTTGTTTGTTTCTATAGAGGTCTGGAGAGCTGCATTGGTTTGAGTCAGGTTTGCTTGGGGACAAGCAAACAGTTAAGTGTGGGGGGATTTGATGACTCGATATTTGCACATGTTTTCCCCTTTGTTTCTTGATCGTTTAAGCTTGTATTATCGCTTCTTTGGCCTATTTTACGCTAGGTTGTGTTCCTTTGTCACATTTCAGGCCCTAGCACATAAAGTGAAGCGTAGGCGCAAGTTTCAAGTCAATCAGAGATCAATTGGCGATTAGGGAGAAGAAACTCGATCATGACCTGAAGAAGAATGGATTTATACCTCACTTTATGGACAAACAATCAGGCAAGCTTGTTATGAAAAGAAAGAGGATGAGACTACGAGCGTCTTGGTTCAAACGGCGACTGATTTGGAGTCCGAACGAGGGAGAAACGAAGCTTTGAACAGGAGAGGAGGAAGAATTACGAGCAGGAGAATTACGACCGTAATTTGGCCTCCCATGCCCGTAATTTCACTGCCGAGAGGAGCTTTGGGTGAGCTGAAACATAACCAAAACGCGTGTTTTGGGCAAAATACGGGCATGGAAGAATTACGACCGTAATTCAGCCCATAATTCGCCCAGAATCGTGTTTTTGAGGCAGATTCGAGCCAAAGGAAAGGGAGAGCTGGGTTTTGGTTCCCAAACACCCAAGGGACGAACCCTAGAGAGAGAGAGCGACTTGGGAACATTCTCGGAGCTATTTTGGAGGATTTCTTCGCCATTGGAGCTCGGGAATCAAGCTTGGAGATGGAGATTGAAGATCTAGATCAGATTTCTGCAGTCTCTCTCTTCTCTATGGAGTAACTTCCCTTCACTTAGGTTTTGAGGAACCCTAGTTCCATGTGTTAGGATCTTTCTTGTATGAAGTTTTGGATGCTATATTGTTTGATTATAATCGATTGAGGCATGATTTATTGAGTCAATTGAATCTTGATCAAATTCTCTTGATTTCTGCTTTAACCTATGATAGATAGAATCTGATTAGGTTAAGAGAGCTTCCTTGATTGATAGTGGTGAATTGGTTGTGCGAGAGTCAATCAATTCACTGCTTTGTACTGGAATTCATTCCAGTAGTGGAGTTCTGTGTTCATAGCCTCAGCTTTCTATCCTGGTGAAGACTAGTCGTCTGCCGGGTAGTTTGACTGAGAGGGCTTGGCCAGCTTAAGAGATTCCAAGCTAATTTAGGATCTTCCGCAGTTTAATCATTAGTAGATCAACCAAAGGTAATTGCAACTTGGACCTAATTGAGGAGCTAGGGGGAATCATACCTAAGTGAGTTCCCAAACTATAATTAGTAGTTTTACTTAGTTTAGTTAGTAGAGTAGTTTAGTTAATCAATCCTTAATCTAGTTTGCTAGATAATGAACTGAAGCTGAGTAATAGTAACTCTAGAGACCCGTGGATTCGATATTTATTACTTGTGCCACTATACTGCAGTCCCTTTCATTGGTTACACTTGGCCATTGTTAGGTGTTGTGTCATAGCGAGTCATCGAGCAACATCACAGAGAGTTTAAACGACACCGCAAGAAAACTCGACAACACCGCGGATTAGAAAACGACAGTGTTTAATATAAAACAATGTCGTGGAGTAAAAAAAGCAAACGAACTTATTTGGGGAAGAAAACGACACCGCGAGTAAGTCCAACAACGCCACGGTACTTGAAACGACATTGTTTAGTAGAAAACAATGTCGTGAGCTTTTTTGCAGTGTTGGAGTTGGAAAAGGAGTGCTCTTTATTCCTTAACAAAGAAGGAGAGGATTTTGCAAGGGGCCGAAAACAACACTGTTGGTGGCATGATGAACATCGTCGTGAGGGAATAGAAACGACATTGTTTTATAAAATAAAACAACGCCGTGGGAAGTCAATCCCCAACGGCATCGCTGTAATAAGAAATGACAATGTTTAGTAAAAACAATGTCGAGAGAAATTGCACATAAACGATCTCGCGGTAGTAGAAAACAGTGTCGTTTCATGGAGTACAACATCGTGGTACCTGAAACAACATTGCTTAGCTAAAAACAACGTGGTTGTGGCAAGACTTCAGCAATGGCTTGTGTTTAGCGATGCCGCGGACTCGACTAGGTAAGCAACAATGTTGTTTTGCCTAAGCTGAGTTTGCATGTGGTTTGAAGAATGAGCAAAGATGCAAGGCAAAACGATTCCGCGATACTAAGGAGCAACGTTGTTTATACGAGGAAGATATCATCGTTTATTTTGTTGAAAAGGTTGTTTGGAGGATCAAACCGTGGTGGAGAATTGTGGATGTTGGCTCGACGTCGTTTTTCTAAGTATCTACAGAGAAGTTTCGCACTCGTAGGAGTGGAACTTAACCACACAGTTGAGAGGGTTGAGACACGTGTGAGTCCACGACGGAGCAGTTGACGAAGCGGTTTCACGGAGCATGAAGACTACGAAGATACTTTTCGAATAAAAGTAGCAGAGCAAGGACATAGATGGGAAAACCAAATCAACACAGAAACATATCTGTCAACTTACCTTTTCTCTGTAACTCCCTTCGCGGAGCTCTCATTCCAGGAAGGATCTCCATAGTCGTAGCAGTAGTCCTAGTCGCGGAGCTCTCCACAGGAATCTCCATAGGAGTAGATCTAACGTAGATTCCCAAAAGCTCAAACACCTTCGTTCGAACATTGTTTGGAGAGGTGTGAACCAAGTAACAATCGTCTTGGTTTTGAGAAGTCAGAGATGAATCGATCAAATCCACATCGCCTGGCGGTGGATATTTGACGATCGTCTTGATTTTCAGAGTCAGAGTTGCACCGATCAAATCAACACCGCCCGGTGGATATTTGATGGTCAGCAAGTCAGTGGTGTATCCATTCATTCGGCACCGCAAAGGTTTCCACATCAAAACAATCAAATCGACACCGCCCGAAACCCTTCGATACCGACGGTGGTAATTGGTTTCTCGGGAAACAGTAGGTGTACATGCACATCTGTCATTATATCTGTAATCTTGGAAGAGTATATAATATGGAACTACTGCCAAGCTTTCAAAACCTGTGTTGTCAATGGTGAACTCTAAAGCAATATAGATGGTCGAAACAATTGGTGATTCGATCCTCATCTTTGTTCCCTTTTTCTAGTTAATTGATCATAATTGTAGTAGTGTTGTAATGGTCAAATTTATCTGTTCCAAAAACTAGGACCATATTTTTTAGAGTTTCTTACAACCACTTGCTCATATGGCGAAGAACAAGTTTTATGGTTTAGAAAGTGTGATTGTGGAGGTTGAGGTTCATCCGGGGTTAGCCCCCCCTCCCCCCTACCCCAACCTAGTGTTCCATAGAATCGTAATGTGGATCGTTAGAGTAACGACCCTTTAATGCTTCGTCTCACTGCAACCGAAATCCTCCATCTAGATGTCTATTTATAGACTTTCTACTAAGATTTTGTGGGAGAGAGGATGGTAATCTAGCTTGTCTTTGAGTCCCAATACGCCTCTTCCAGTTTGGCCACCACATAAAGTATATTCCTTGAAGATTCTGGTGTTTTGTCGATGATCTTCAAAAGGGTGTCCTGATCGACTTTTTGTCAAAATGTCTCCTAATTCCATTGCCATTTTTACACTCTCGTCATTTCCCACTCCTAGCTCCTAGTAGTCGAGTCCTAATGTCCCTAACACGTCCAAAGTGGTCCACTAGGTTGCTATATCATGAAAACACATGAAGCGGTACCAAGGTGCATCAAGGGGTTTCAGTGAATGTGGGATAAGTGATAGAGATGATGTTCACTTATATCTTGTATTCGGAAGATGCTTTGAGCTTATGTGGTGTCTAGAAGGATCGGGTCAAGGTCCTTCTAGCTGCACTTGTTCACTTTGAGGAAATCATTGAGTTGAAGGCCAATCTCCGTAAAATTCATGTTCTACATTGGGTAGGTTCAATTGCCATGCTGATTTCAAGATTTGTTTGGTTCCACTGCTGGGAGTTCCCTACTCCTTACCTTGGTAAACAGTTTGGGAAGACGACATCATAAGCAATCTGGAACTTACCATTACTTGTATCCAACATTGAGGGGATAGGGTTTGAAGAGTATGTATTGAGGGTTGATATCGATAGTTAAGATGAATCAATGGTGATCCATGTGGTCTACAAGTGTCTTATAGTCGACCCACCCACATCCTATTAATACGAGTAATGCTAAGTTTGGGACCTAGACAATAGTTAGCCCGAAAACGCGTCAAAATTATCTAATGTTTGTTCTTCCCAGAAAAGTAAAACCTCAAATATACTCAAAGGGTAAATCAAAAACATTTTTGCTCGAACTCAAATACTAAAATGAGAAGTTAGAATGAAACACGTCAAACAACTTATCATAAATTCGACATAAAAGTCGAGTTTGGAAAGGTTTATGAAGATTCGAGATCGTTTGAAGGAAGGAAAAAAATTTAGAGGTACATTTGATGACATATCAAAGTTCGTGGGCCAAAATTAACGGTAAACCTTGAAAATTTTCAAATCAACTAGTATTAATCAGGTCATCGCACCAACCATCAATTGCTCGCTGCAATAGAGATGAGGCGCAATAGTTGTTTGCTTGAGACAGAGATTCCTGAATCTTTAGTCAAATCCAGATGTTGAAGTCTAACGGGAAGTTTCCAATCAAAATGGAAGAGCAAATTGGCTAGGCCCAACCTGACATTAGCCATTCCAAACAACATGCTAGGACACATCCTTCTTCCAGAACCGAATGGTACATATTCGAAGTTTGTTCCCTTATAATCGATAGATGAGTTCAAGAACCTCTCTGGGTAAATATCTTGAGGATTCGTCCAATAATTAGGATCTCTTCCAATTGCCATGCATTGATTAGAACCCTAGTTTTAGGAGGGATCACAAAACCATTGATTTCAATGGTCTCTCTTGTTTCTCTTGTAGCTAGAAATGAACTTGTCAATTTCTCATAATTAGGAAATCTCAACTCTTGGAATCTAGGCTAGCCCATATTCTTGAAATAATTCAGCACGTTCTCCACTATTCTAGTAATTTTCAATACATCCAAATCCATAAATTGAGAGGGAATTACCAGCCGAGCAAGAAGAACCTTGTATTTCACCATATGTTCAGGAGGAATGAGAGATTTGTCAAAAGTTTCTGAGACATCTACTCCACTGTTTGTTGCTGCCAATTTTGATTTTTGAGTAGTTTTGACCTTTTTACTTCTCGGCTGGGCTGTAGGTTGCGAGGGAGCTTGCCTCTTTGATGGTGACTTCTTGTTGTTGTCTTTAGCCTTTTGTTTTTTTTCGGTTGAGGTGCATTGTTGCTGGAACGTGTTCGCTTCAGTGGTGGCTCTCCTCGCTTGGCTTTGGCCTTTTCTTGGGCTTGTGGTGGAGGTACATGACTGCTGCAACTTTGGTGCTTGGATGGAAGCTCCATTGAGTCGTCAAAGGTGTCAACTGTTTCTCGAACATAGTCTCCCATCATTTTAAGTTTTGATCCTTCTGGTAGAGGCATAGCAATGACTCGTTCCACTCTCTTCTTCCCAATGATGCCTCTGACAACCCTATGAAATGTGTGTGTGGGGGGGGGGGGGGGGGCTTCAACTCTGGTAGCTTCTGGTCTAGGCTCTGGAACGGGACCGATGTCAGAGAGAAGATGTAGCGTATATACCATATCTTATTTTCTGAATTTTGTCGTGCCATCAATACTCCAGTCCACCATTTGAAAATGGCTGACTCCAACCCTTTTCTTCCTCACCATGGCTGATTCCCCGAGCTGTTTCTTGCAAATATAGAGCAGAACCAAGTTGTCTTTATCTCTGCTCAAACGTTGTACTCCAACACAGCCTTCAACAAACAATATGCTCCCTTTTTCAATCAATTCCTGGCGAACCCATGAGCACCAGAGTCATTTCGAGTTGATAGAGAAGGAATTCTGTCAATTTGATGTAGCAGAATTTGAGTTTTAGAAAACCCTAGAAATTGGGTAAAAGTGGTGGAGAAGGAGGAATGTGGAAAATTGGTTGGGTTAATAGAGAGGGTGAGTTACGAAATTTATGGATGGACCGAAGTTTGAGATTAATTTGGAAACTTTAGTGGGAGTATTGGAAGAACAGAAGAAGAATGAAGGAGAGGAAGAATGAGTTAAAAACGTGGGAGAGAATTCTGTCGAGAGAAACTAGTTTGTCTTAGGTTTTTTCTCCTTTTTCTGCTCCACGTTTTTTTCTTTCTTCTTTTTTCTCTCCTTTTTTATTGTATTTCCAAAATTGCTTGCAACACCCTAACCCAACTAGGTACTACTATTACTAAAATATCCTTAATAAATACTTAGCATTAAATACTTTGAAGAGAATGGAAATGTAACATATTAAATAACACTTATTACATGAACAATCTTTAAATACTTGTTTTAGTAAACATCTTTCATAAAATTGCATCAAGTCTCTCGTCCTACTAAAGTACTCAAAGTTAACGTCTTCCTGCTTGAGTCCCCTGGAGCCATTGATCCTTGTCACGAACTGCTGAATTCCTGAGCGTACTTATGGAGCTTCTAGAATCCTTGAATGCGGGACATGGGGTCAGTCCTAATCCTAATTTTGGGTACATTAGGAATCCTTGAAATTATGATTCTTGTTTACTTTATAAGTGTCTTGCATATTTTAGATTAAAATGGGGCATCGTCCTCCACTTAGCTATAGCATTCGTCCGGTAAAATTTTTCATAACATATCCTAATATGACTACTGGTTTGCGATGAGAAAACTTGCGTTGAATTGATATTGATTGCACCTTTGACTTCTTTGGATAACGATTACTAAGACACGCCTCACACCTCTTCAAACAAAGTTCGAACGAGGATGTTTGATTAATGGTTTTCGGGAAAAAATCTAAATTAAATTACTCCTACTCTTATGGAGGTTCGGTGAGAGCTCCAAACTAAAACTATGTCTATGGCTACATGATAGAGAAAAGAAAAAGGATAAACTTGACATGTGTGTCAGAATGTTGGTTTTGGGAACCCTTGTCTCTGTCGACTCCTCCTCCTATTTATAGCCACGAGGAGGTAACCACCATAGAAAACCTCTTGTTGGATAACTGCTACAAAGAACCGCTCCCCCTCGTTGGTACAAAACTGCCTCTTGGATAACTCCCGAAAAGAACCGCTCACTGCTTCCTCGGAGTGGTGGTTACTCCTTCAACCTCCTAGGTGCCTCTCTTGGAACCATCGTGGGTCTTGGAATATAGCTTGCCTCGCCTGGTCTTGTTCTGCATCTCGTGTCATGCTAGTCTTTTGATAAGCAAGCGGTGTCTCACAAAGGGATTCGTAGTCCTCTTTCCAGACGACCATGGACTTCCACTCATATCCATGGCCCTTTTGGGACTTAGTCACTAGTTATATAATGGTCCACCACCACGTCCTTCTCATTCGTGTCCATGGCCACTCTCGTGAGGTGCCACAAACCTCTCAATCATGCACATGGCCCCTCTCATGAGGGGGCATGGCATTCCCAGACTTAGTATTTTCAATCGTGTCTAATGCTTCTTAATTCGCGTCCATGGACATCACATGACACGACCATGGACCTCTTAATCGTGCAAATGACCCTTTTCGTGAGGCGACATGGCCTTCTCAGGCTTAGAATATTTTGGTTTGTTCGGTCTTGGTCATGAGGCAGCATGATCACTTCATCCACGGCCATGGACTTCTCATACTTAGTATTTTTCAATAGTGCCATCTTGTCTCACGTCCATGCCCCCTTCGCATGAATGAGCATGGACCTCTCAGACTTAGTCATTTTTTGTCTCCTTAGATATTCGCTTCTCGTGGCATGATCACGTGACTCCAATAACGGACAAGTGATAGAAACCCACGGTTTCTATTATGGTCTTATTATTATTATAGTTACTATTAAGTTAATTACTAGTAGGGTTAGTAGTCTTTTAGTCATATTAGGTTAATCGTTAGGGTTTTCTAGTTCTTTCTTTATAAATATGTACTTAGCGTTTTATTAAGGAGAAGTCAAGAAGAATATTAAGAAAAAATCTCCTAAACCCTAATCTCCAAATCCTCTCAATTCTCGTTCCCAATCCCGCTAAAGGCCTAGGCCGATTCTCTATCTTTCTCTTCTCATATCCCTAATTATGTTCTTAATCCCTAAATCTCCAATTCCCGATAGAACCCTAATCCCAGGTTCTATAATTTGGTATCAGAGCCAACATGAGCTCCTCGTGGCTCTCTGATCCAGTATGGAATCGTATGATGCAACGGCTCGACGCCATCTGGGCCGACCAGGCCGCGACGACACGCGAACGCGGCAGCGAGGTGGTGACGGCACGCGGCACGGCCGGGCTGCCTGATAAATGTCGAAAATATATTGATTTCATGTGCTTAATGAGATTATTACATGATATGTTTGAGGCATATTATACTTGTTTTAGGAACAATTGACCATGAAATGGTTGAAAAACCATTACCATTCTGTGTTAGAGTTTTGATGTGTTTCAGTTGAAGAAATTGAGAAATTGGCAGAACGACAAATTAGGACAGAAAAATGGATAAAGAACAACATATGTATATTGGCCGTAAATTACTTGGACCAGCGGACATTCTTGGATTTAACATGGACCAAGTTTTCTGTCCTTTTCTGTGTGCGACGCAGCATATTGGAGTGGGCCTTGGACGGAATTCAGCTGGGGACTGAATTAATTGGAGTGGGTACGTTTCCGGGATTTTTCCAATAATAGCACCTATTAAAAAAAATTACAAAAATAGCACCTTGCCGAAAAAATTTACACTAATAGCACCCTTTTTATGGACTGCACCCTCAGGGTGCGTTTTATATATAAACCGCACCTTGGAGGTGCATTTTGCGCCACGTCAGACTGGGAATCGCACCTCCAAGGTGCGGTCTGTGTTTGGTGGGCAGCGGCCTTGCAGACCGTAGGATCGTGTGGCGATCTATCGGGAAGGACGCACGCCACGTCAGCGATCCACACCGTGGATCACAGAACGCAGCGAGGAGGAGCGGTTTGCGCAGCGTGGATCACGGAACGCACCGTGAAGGAGCAGTCAGCGCCTCGGGACGCGGAGACCGCATCGGAAGGGAGCGGTTTCTGCTCTGGAAAAATTACCAGACCGCTCCTGAAGGGTGCGGTCTGAATAGTATAAATTCCCCTTCTCCCCCTCTCCTTTTTTCACACCACAACCATTCTCCACTCTCTCGCTCTCTAGAATTATCTCTCTAAACCCTCCCCTCCCAAAAGCCTAGGAAATAGTGGTCTGTTGGTTGCGGCTAAGTCAGATCTGCCATCAGAAAACATTTCTTAGGTTTTTTCCTCAAAACCCGCCGAGCCGAGGCGAATCTTTATCCGAATTTCCCAAAAAAATGGCCGATTGGTGGCAAGGAGAGGGAGTTTATGTTGATGAATTTCTAGCGGTACGTACTCATTATTCTGGTTTAATTTTTGTTGTTGTTATAAGCTTTTTAATTAATCTATGTACTAACCTCGTTGTTATTTTCTCGTAGGTTGGGGAAGACGTGGATATATACAACCAACGGTATTATCTCGAGCAAGGACCGTTGGATCCAACCGACTTGTACGACCAACCCAACCATCGGTCAAGGGATGTTTGGAACGATCACCCGGTACATACAATTCTTCACCATTTGTCCTTCTTTTATTTTGTTAATGTATTTAGTGGAATATAAAATAAATTTATGTTGAATTTTTAATCGTGTTGGTTGTTTTCAATAATTTAATCGAATACATAGCGCCAATTACTTCGACTCTTTATAAAGAGATGCACGTCTAAGGAAATGGGGTTTTAAGAGATTATCATATCCTCCCATTCCCTGGGAAAAT